TCCAAAGAAAAAATTACAATCTCAACCAAACTAAGATATGAAAAACTAAATACTCTTGGCATCATATTTTAAAAATACACAACCCTATGGAAGTCCTACGAGCATTGTAGCTTGCATTAGTAACTAATACATAGACCTTAAATTTACTTATAACAAGTTCTTATAAATAAGCACAATATAGCTTAGTTACACACTATAATAAGTACAATTATGCAGGTAAGCAGTAAGAACAAAATTCTATATAATAAACTTAAAGTGATCTGCTTAATTCAACACTCTTTACAAATAAAATAAAATAACACTCACATTAAATAAGTATTACAGCTCGTAATTTTATATAGTTACAATATGTTATATTATAAAATTAATTATTTTGTTCAAAAGGCAATGGAACAATTTTTGTAATAGGTCTAGAATATAAACCTGTCTTAGTTTTTACAACAGCAGCTCGAATATGATTGTCTTTACTTTTGTATAATTCTACTACACGACCCAATGGCCAAGACAATGGTGGTTGATTATCATCTTTCAATAATACAATCATGTTTAACATTAAATCTGGTTTTTCTTTATACCATTTGTATCGCATCTGCAATGTGTTTAAGTAGTCAGCTTTCCATCGCTTCCAGAAGCTTTGTCGAAGTTTACATATTTGTTGATATATATTTAATCTGTTATCAGGAAATTTTGTGAAATCTCCTTCTGGAAATGAAGTAAAGCTGCACCCAATCAAAAAGTGAGCTGGTGTGAGACATTGCTCTTCACCATCCAAATCTTTCAATGGTGTTATTGGTCGGCTGTTTACAATAGCTTCAATTTGGGTTAAAAGGGTATATAAATGTTCATAGGAAAGTACAGTATTACCCAATATTCTCTTTAAATGATGTTTAACAAGCTTCACAGAGCTTTCCCATATTCCCCCCCAATGAGCTGAATGAGGGATTATAAAACTCCATTCTATGGATTCTGATAATACATAATTCGAAATTTTTTCAAAATCGTTTTTAAACATGTTGTATAACTCATGAAGCTCATTTTTAGCACCATGAAAAGTAGTTCCATTATCACTGAATATTTTAACACATTTACCCCGTCTAGAAATAAATCTACGCAATGCATTAAGAAATTCTTTAGTAGAGAGATTTGAAACTAATTCAATATGAATTGCTTTAGTGCTAAGGCAAACAAAAAGACATATATAACCTTTAGTTATTATAGGTTTCCTCGTGCGAGCAATCTTGACTGAAAATGGGCCAGCAAAGTCTATGCCTGTGAACAGAAAAGGTCGTGAAGGTGTTACGCGATACTTAGGCAAGTCAGCCATTATTTGCGAAGCAGTTTCAGCCTTAAATCTGTAACAACGGACACATTTGTGTATTAAATGGCGCACACGATTTCGGGCATTCAATGGCCATACAAAACTCCGCAAAGCAGATAAAGTTGTTTGGGTTCCTGCATGCAATAGCCGTTCATGCTCATATTTAATTAGCAAATCAGTGACATGACAACGAGTTGGCAGTAGCAAGGGAAATTTTTGTTCAAACGGGATATCAGCATGACGTAAGCGACCGCCTACACGAAACAATTTTTCGCCATCCATGAAAATATTTAAATATTTTAAAGACTTTAAATCGCAACCAAGCTTTGACGAAACACAACCATTCTCATCCCTATGAAAATGTGCATGCTGTACACATTTGATTATGCAAATAGAAGCTTGATGAAACTCTTTGCTTGTTAAAAATTTGGTGACAGTATAATCAACATTTTTTAAATTATTAATAAATCGGAGTACATATGCCATGACCCTAACTAATCGACTCCAGGATGAAAATTTTTCAAATAAATCAAGAAGATCATTTTTGGTCTCCTGAATTATTAGTGATACACTTGGCAAAACAATACAATTGTCAATACCTTCCAAATCATTGGGGATTACTTGAGGTGCATTAAGCCAAAAATAGTCAGATTGTGATAACCAGTGAGGTCCATTAAACCAAAGTTTACACTTGGGAAAATCCTGTGGCTCTAAACCACGTGAAGCCATATCAGCAGGGTTCTCTGAAGATTTAACATGAAACCAATTATCTTTAATAGACAAACTTTGTATTTGGACAACTCTATTTGAAACAAAAATATCACGTTTGGTATGATCATTTTTAATCCAGCATAAGGTAATCATGGAGTCAGTCCAATAAAATAAACTTTCAGAGGGAATATTTAAAATTTTGGAAACAGTGCTCATGAGTTTTGAAAGCAAAAGCGCAGCACAAAGCTCTAACCTTGGCAGTGTAACAGTCTTGAGAGGAGCAACTCGTGTCTTTGCGCAGACTAAGTGGACTGTAGTTTTTTCAGCATGACTGCAGCGAATATATATGACACAGCCATAAGCCTTCGTGGAGCTGTCTGCAAAGCCATGAAGCTCGACCTGCTCTGCGTTGGGTATAAGCATGAAACGAGGCACTGAAATGACATTCAAACATTCAAGATTGGCACAAAACAATTTCCATTTACACAAAATAGCATCAGGCACTTTAGCATCCCAATCAATATTTGTTTTCCATATCTCTTGCATTATTAATTTAGCATAAACTGTAACTGGAGCAATAAAACCCAAGGGGTCATAGACCTTAGCAATATCAGACAAAATACTTCGTTTAGTATAATTAATTGAGATTTTATATTTAGGTACATCAACCTGAAAATTATCTGAAGAGGGCTCCCATTTCAAACCTAATGTTTTAATACAAGAATCTTCCTTGTTATCAAATGAAAATTGACATTTTTCACGTCTTTCAGGAGGAATAATTGACATTAATTCGGAGTTATTTGCATACCATTTATGCAACTCAAATTGTCCTTTACCCAATAATACTTGCAACTCCTTCATAGTATTCAATGTAGATGAAAGATCATTTTCACCATGTAAAATGTCATCGACATATGTACTATTTATTAATGCTTTAGAAGCAGAAGGAAAACCCTCACCTTCATCTTCAACCAACTGCACCAATGTCCTGGTAGCAAGGTAACTAGCAGATGCTGTTCCATATGTAACAGTATCCAATTGAAGACATTTTATACTATGTGATGGATCATCTCTCCACAAAATACGCTGAAGTGTTTGATACTGAGGTTTCACTCGGATTTGCCTGTACATTTTAGTTATATCAGAAACAAAAACATAAATATAGGTACGAAATCTCAAAAGTATGGTAAACATGTCAGGTTGCACAACAGGACCTACCAAAAGTACATCATTTAAACTCAAACCAGATGAAGTAGATTGAGAGCCATTGAAAACAATTCTAAGCTTAGTTGTAGATGAACTTTCTTTTATTACAGCATGATGAGGCATGTAATATTCAATGTCATAGTTTTTATGAGGATTTATATCAACAAAATGGGCATGACCAAGTTTAATAAATTCATCTATGAATGCCTTATAGTCTTTAAAAAGTTTGGGATTATTTTGGAATTTCTTTTCCAATGACATTAGACAACGAAAAGCAACATTATATGAGTTACCTAACTTTGGTAAAAGTTCTGTGTTAACTGGCAAATCAACATAATATCTTCCATCTTTATCCCTTGACACGGAGTTGAGATAGCTCTGCTCGCACATTTTCTCCTGAAATGATAGCATATTATCATTAATAGATATTTCTTCTATTTGCCAAAATTTTTTTATATCATTATGTAGGACAGACAAATAACATGGGCTCTTTAAGCTTGTAACATGTTGCCCTATCATAGACAATTCACCACAAAATATCCAACCAAATGCAGTGTTAATTAACGTAGGCATATTAGGACCTAAATCTAGTTTACCTTCTCTAAGACATTTTGCAAAACACGAAACACCAAGTATCATATCAATCTCCTTAGAGACATTGAAATTAGGGTCCGCTAAATGTAAATGCATAAGAGATGGTAATGCCTCTTTGGACACATTCACTAAAGGCAATGGATCAGTAATAATATCTAACACACCAAATTCTGAACAAAATTTAAAATCAGAACAGTTAGAATAAACAGATAAAGCAACTTTATGCTTTATTTTAATTGTATAATTTCCTACCCCCGCCACAGATAAATCAGTATCTTCAAAATCAACACACTTTAATTTATTAGCAAATGCAGAACTAATATAATTCTTTTGGCTACCTATATCCAAAAGTACTGTGCAGTCATATCGCTTACCTTCATTGTCACATACATATGCTAAAGCAGTAGGCAGAAGGGACACTTGACAAACAGAGTTGTTTTTATTTTGTGTAATTATTGAAGATGTCAATACAATATTTGTGGGGGTTTCATTGTGAGGAACACTATATGTGGGGTTACAGGCCATAGTCACATTGCATGTTTGTGAGTCAAGGTGCAATAAACTATGATGCTTTTGTGAACATTTTTTACAAATGATATCTTTAGTGCAATTGCTAGATATGTGTTTATTTGATAAACAACCAAAACATAAATTTGCATTTTTTACAAATGTTTGTCTATCATTTGGAGTTAATTTAATGAACTTAAAACATTTTGAAATTGAATGACTTTTGTTACAATAAAGACAGTAAAGCGACTTACCATTTGCAGCATTGCCACTGCCTACAGACACATGAGTAGTGCTTTTCAAAGGAGACATAGACTTCACATTGGCCACTGTATCATCTCTGCACAACATGTCCAATGCTTGACAGCGCTGTTGCAAAAATCCTAAAAATTGCTGCAAACTAGGAAAGTCACTAGAATTTCTATTCAATTCAAAATCACGTAACGAACTATAATCAATTTTCGTTGACAAGATATGTATAAGTATAATATCCTCTAAGTTCGAAATATTCAGTGATAATAGTGAATTATAATATTGCATAAAATCATTCATTAACTTTCTCAATGTATAAGACTTATTATTAACTTTATTTAAAGAGAAAATGTTTTGCAAATGATAATTAGCTATAAGCACCTTATTGTCATATCGTGACGTTATCGCATACCATGCCTTTATGTAGTTTTCATTTGTACACTCCAAAGTCGTAACTAGGGAAGCGGCTTCACCTACTAAACACGACTTCAAATAATAGAATTTCTGCACAGGACTGAGCTCTTCATTACTGTGTACCATTGTGACGTATAAATCCTTGAAAGACAGCCAATCTCCATAACTACCGCTGAATTTCGGCAGTGATATCTTCGGAAGATTCGGTTTGTACTGATGATCTTGCGCCGACGCGCACTCACTCGCCGGAGATGCATTAGAAAGATGCTTCAGTACTTCACGTCGTGTACGGATTTTCGTCAATAGTCTTTGGCACTTGCATTCAATATTCGATCCCTCGGAATTTTCTGCTATGTCAAGTGATTCCAAATTGAGGTTCACGTCTTCTAATCTTGTGAAAAGACTACACAACCGGTCAGCGGCAACATCCAAACATACAATGGACTTCACATTTTCAATGTCCCCCAGCTCATTCTCTACAAGTGTTATACGGCCTTTGATGTATCTCCTTGTATTTATTAATTTTATTTTCTCTTGGGTTAAATCGGTGATGGCGTCGTCGTATTTTTCGTTACTTTGTAACTTTTCGGATGTCGCCATTTTGGACGCTTGTTACACGGCGTACTAAAAACCGATATTTCACTAAATACACACTTAACTGATCAAGTCGCGCTGAATTCAATATTTCTCGGAGAGAAAGACCATATGTTGAGTATCAGTCCTACTATGCAGTAAGTATTAAATGAAATTTATCCAAGATCTTTAATTGTTAATTGGAGAACAAAAAGCACAAAACCATCTTGAATTTATGATCGCGTGACGTAGGTATTCATCGACTTTTTTTTGATAAATTATATGCGCGCGTCAAGTTATAATAATTTAAAAATCTTTTATTATTTCATAATTCGCCGACACTAGCTAATAAGTAGTTCCAATGGCTAAAAGAATATAAGTATTCCTAATATCTATATATATAAAAATAGATCATCATCATCATCATCAGCCCTTTTTACTTCCCCACTGCAGGGGCTCAGGCCTTCCTTATGGATGGTTAAGGAGGATGGACCATGTCCCTCCACGCTGGTCCAATGCGGATTGGAGGGTATTAACGATTGCAAATGCAGCCGGGACCAACGGCTTAACGTGCCATCCGAAGCACGAAGTAGCTCGAGATAATAACTTTTCGGTCATCCATCCCGTGACCGACCCTTGCGAAAGTTGCTTAACAACAACGATCGCGGCCCGCGGCGCTTATCCTCTACGCCACCGAGCTACTTCCTATTAAAAAATAGATCGCTAAATGTGTTTCCAGGCGCAAAACCGAGAATGCCTGGGCCAAATAAAGCGATCAAACTTTATAGATGGAAAAATTTAGAGGAAAGTAGTAAAAATAGCCTTGTTTTTTCCATTAACTGGACGGCACTCCGAACTCGAGAAAAAGTGGTCAAGAAATACTTTATTAGAGCACCAGAGAAAATGATTGTAGAGAAACGTTTCTCAAAATGATAATGCTGGTCGACACGGCTGTTGTCATTGTAACTTCTAACAACTACTGAGGATGCTCCATCAAATGTCATTCAAAGTAATGACCAAAGTGTAAGTGAGCTTTTAGGTTAATGATAGTGAGAATAATAGAAATTTCATATTTTTTGAATTTGTAATAGGTTATCCTATTCTGTTTGAAATAATACTTGTAATTGTTTATTTTAATTAGTGGTCGCCCAGTGGTCGAAATTCGACCATAATAAATTTCAATTAGAAGTTATTTAATATTATTTATTTAAAAGACCACAGTAAACATCACAAACATATAAATAGATGTCTATGGTAAACAAATTAAACTTGACACTGATTAAATACACAAACCGTGCGAAGACAATATTCAAAATAAATATTGTCAAAGAAACAAATTGACCACAGAGTACATGTATGTGTGTAGCAAATACTTGTTTGTGTGTGTTAAATGCATAGAAGTGTGTGTAATGTTTTATTTATCGGTTTAATGTACTTTATAAGCATTAATATTGAAAAATATTAGCCGTTTGCACTTCTCCTACATATAAACTATAAGTGTGCCAAATTTCATATTCCTCCGTCCTCGCAATTTTCGTAAAAAGGTGTTCAAGGTTCTTGCTTCTTCTTTCTTCATTTTAATATATAGATTAAAAAAAGACATAACAAATATTTTGGAAAAATAAATACGTTTTCTTGCCTTACAATTAAATCATTTTTTTTATATCCACGAAAACCCTCTGTTTATTTACTCAAATAAATAGAAAAAAAACCCTGTCTTTTATTCAAGACGACGACGAACATAAAACAGATGCATAGATTAAAAGATGTCAATAAAACAAGAACAGTGTCCTTTAAGTATCGATTATGAAATAAAAAGATATAAATAAGCTAACAACAGCGCCATCTAGGAATTTAACTTGTAATTAATAGGATTATAATAAAAAGAATTTAACATATATTTCTGACTCATTTGACAGCTATCACCACAATGACGTCACACAGTGGCGGGTTTGTTGAAAAATCTCGACTTTTGTTTTTAAAATAATCGTGCGATCTTAAGACTTAAAATCAGAATCTCTATGTTAATTACGATGTAAGTTTTCGTTTTTGTGCAATTTCGCGACTTATCCTATTTATATTATAAATGTGAAAGTTTCTTTGTTTGGATGTATGGATGTTTGTCCGTCAATCACGCCGAAACTACTGAACGGATTTTGATGAAATTTGGTATACAGATAAGGTATTAGCTGACTTAGATAATAGGATACTTTTATCCCACTAAACATTTCCCTAGGGTCCACGCAGGTGAAACCACTGGCGAAAGTTAGTTTTTTTTATAAGTAAATGGGATATAAGAGGGAAGGAAGAGTATAATTTATTTCCAAAACATATGTTCAAAAGAGTTTGTACTATTGTGCTAGTGGTGCCATTCACGCCTAACTATGCGTAATATTCCCTGTTCAGATTTTTACATAAATCTACTGTTCAAATGCGGAAACGACGAATCTATTATATGATTATGTTACAAAATAAATAATGGATAGCATGAACTTTCTAAAGATAAAAGCGGTGGGCTTAATAATAACAGGTGCGGGAGCAAACCTAATGGCTCGCACTTCCAATCGATGAAGGTCGCCGGTACTGACTGACGCAGGCACGCGATCGCCTTTTTACCACTACTTTAACAATCATATTTACAATCATTAAGTTACATCGTGTACTGTAGTATCAAAAAAAAATCCCTAAATTATTATGTAAATCGAAGATTCTCAAAGTGGTGGACATACATTCTTTTTTCAATTGATACAAAATGTAAGTATTATATATGCAATTTCAAAACTGCGCCGTTGATTACATCATTACATTTAACACCATTTTCTCATTAATATTCACCAAAATATTATAGACTTCTGTTGAAATTTCAAATAAGGGTCTAAGGTAACAGTTCGTTTTGGAGAACGGGGATCTTTTGCTTAAATAGTTTGAAAAAAAAAAGTCGCCACATACGACTTTAAATATCGAACACACATGCCATAAAACCGTTTAGAAGTAGTTTTATAATTCAAATGTAGTCGTTTATTGTACAAAAAGCAATTAATACATCAGATTACTTTAAAACCACAAATATCAGTACAGTAATACAGTTGATTTTAATCTTAACTGTCTACAGATCAATGTTTAAAATCGAGCATGACATTTGTATAACCGAATGTCCTGCTGACTGTACTCTAGGACAATTTTATTACTGTGTATGAGGATGTCCGACTATGTTGGGCACAGCATGGTAAAGATAAAACAGTAAATGTTATTCAATTGGATAAAGTTAAATTAATTGTATTAGTGTGATGAAGTCATATTTTAATTTAGTTTGTTTGTTTGAAATAATTTGGAAGAAAGAGCCTTTGCTTCGTTTGTTGGCAGGACTACGATTTACGAACCGACAGCATAATTATTTGTCTTCCGCAAGCATATTTACAGTCTGAATATATGATTAAACAAAAAAGAAACAGAAACTCGTTAGAAGCTTAGAGACGCCTTCTGAGCTGTACTAATTGAGCAATCGACCCACCCACCCGAGCCGACCTCAAAATCAGAAACCACATTAACTCATAAAAATGAAAGGTCACCCCAAAACAAAATACACCCGCGTTGTCCCCTATGTACACGGTCCTTAATGGCACTCAAGCTTAGGGCTACCTCGCTTAATTAGTGAGCATTTCTGAACTGATTAGAAATTGAAGTTTAAATAACTTTGTAGAGCTAAACCAAATTAATTCTATAGGTATGTAAATATAAGTATTTATAAAAAACGGCAATTACGTTTATACATATTGCAAAACCAATACTTTTTATTATATTTTGACAATTCAATAAAACGAAATTCTGAGATAGGATCCCATCTCAGAATGCCAGGGTCACCGAGGATTTTTTAAGCATTTTTCATCACGAATATTTTCCTTTTTCGTTATTGTCACGGAAAAAAACAGTTGCGTCCCTTACATACGTTAACTTAGTTACACTGCGACACCACATGTCAAAATAATAGACAACATTAAAAAAAACATAAGTTAACTATACATTCTGATCGTAACAAATATTTATAAACTGGAGTATAAAGATTCCAAATACATAATTTTGGCTATTAAAGTTAACCATGATAACATATAATACATAACCAAAAAATAATTCAGTTAAACCTAGGACTTATACTGCTGCGCCTGACTGCGCCTGATTAACCACACGCGCTAAATCTAATTCTTCTTTCTCTCTTTGCATCACTGCCCCATTTCCTCTTCCTACATTGATGTGCCTTTTTATACTGTACCTAGCCCTAGAGACGCCCTCTACGACCTTCTCTTCCTCCGCCGCGATTAATTCCGCGGATAATAAAGCACACCATGCCGATTGTATAGTACCTTTTGTTTCTTAAGATTATGTGTTCAATAATCTTAGAACAGACTGGAAACTACACGAATTAACGAAACTTAAAAAAACCTTAAGCAATTCGAAGAAAACTTGAGAATTAAATCGTATTTTTTTTCCGGCGGAAACTTTTTTCCCTTGTAAATAAAATAGCCAATCCTGCACTATCAACCCAAAAGATCTATCAAACAGTTGTCACGCTCACGGTTGTTACTGAAAATTAAAAATTTGTGCAAAAGCGGTGCAAAGTTTGCCAGAGGTAGTACTAAATATATAAGTATTTTGCATTCAGGCTAAAATGAAATGCAAACTAGTAAAATAAATACCGCCATGTTAAATAAAACAAAAGTAAACACAACAAAGGGATTAATAAGCTAATATAAAAGTAAAATGTAGCAACCCTACCCAAAGAGCTTATCCGGTTTAAAACCCCTATAATGAAGCAATGAACGCGAGTATCGCCCGACGGCAAATGTTTGCCGGAGAACATAGCAACAGCACCGCTGCTGCGAATAATAAATGTGTTAATATGTATTGTAGTTCCCGCCGTAAGTCAGCGCGATAAGGTTTCGAGATTTCAGCTTATATGACTTTGCAGCAACTAACTCTTGACATCGACATTTCAAAGTTCTATGTAAGTACCTACATAGTTGAAAACCGGGCACATTTCAAAATTAGCTTTCGAATAATTTTTTTAACGATTATACTCATATATGAAAACAGCTATGTAAGACAAGGAACAGAAAGATATCTTTCTATTCTAGGGCATCAGCCTTGTGACGTTTCAAGGCTGATGCCTTAGAATACTACTGAAATCTGGTGTGAAGATAAACATTGTTATAAATTGTCACAAGAGTGGAATCCAGTATTTGCTAAAACGCAACCTCTTTTTTAGCAGGTCAGTGTAAAAATCGTGTCCAATACCCGGTATTACAAGTATTTAATAAACATTATTCACTAGTTAAACCCGGCTACACTTCACTGTGAATGTTCCTAGGGCCGCTGTTACAAAATTATTAATATATTTTGAATTTTTGCATGATCAAAGATCGGAATAGTAAGGAAGATAAGTTAACATTAGTAGTTCTAGTAGTACTAACTTTCCACTCGCGTTCTTGTATCCTATTAATATGTATTATAAATGAGAATGTTTCTTTGTTTGGATGTTGGTCTTGTGAAAGGATTTTGATGAAATTTGGTATATAGAAAGGGTATTAGCTGACTTAGTTAATAGGATACTTTTTATCCCACTAAACATTTCCCTAGGGAACACGCGGGCGACGCCGCAGGCGAAAGCTAGTTATATATAAAACCGTTCCTTTGAATCACTCTGTATAATGATGAAAACCGTAGTAAATTGGTTGTGTATTCTTTAAGATCTTAGCGTACAGACAGCGGAAAGCGAGTTCATACAATGTATAGTAGAAATTTTAATATTTCAGCTCGGATTGTTAAAGAAACTGCGTCATATATTCATTAATCTAGCTAATATATATAGCTATATAATAATCATTGCCGAATAATTATAATTGGAGACTAAAAGGAAAATCTTGTTTCTTGTAATGAAGGAACGTCACTAAAAGGTAGTTGCATATTACACTCGTTAGTCCTGAGAGTGTAGGGCTGTCAAAGCAACAATCCCTTTTTATTTCAACTAAAGCCGAGAATTTAAGGTGGCGATAAATATCTGTAAACTCATATAAATGAGCTTTCGGAATCCAAGGTCTTGATTAATGATATATGGGGCATAGCTTTCGATTTTTATTCTGATTCTGTACCTTTATAGGAAAAATCCAACCCTGATAGGATTAGTTGCGTTAATGTTTGACCATCTCTCTGCTACAGCTTCTTTGCTCGAAAGACAGGTCAATATCAAATGGGGATTTCCATGCCCAGTAATAATTTTAGAAATTTCAGTTTTCTTTACTTCAATGGTTGGCTGTTGGCTAATATTATTTGTGAAATTCAAGTGTGACGTTCATATAAAATGTACAGTACTTGAGATTTATTAAAGAATCTTTTGAAATAAACTTTTAACAAATCGCCAGATTAAGGTACACGACTTGGTATTCAAATTCATAATGTCTAATAAGATAAATATTAATGAAGCATTGTGAAAACAATTTATCCTAAAACTGATCAAAATATCTGATTGGTCAGTCATTTGTATAATTGTATAGTGAACAGCACATTGCTTATACAAATGCATCAAATTTATTCACTTGATTACAAACATTGATGTCTTGAGTGTAAAGTTTAAAAATCAATGGTGAAAATTGTACATTGTATATAACATGGCGTGCTGCTGTGTGTACATTATAGAGACAAAACATACCAACACAAACGGTGTATGAATAAAGAAATGTCGTCATATCTTATACCTAGATACAGAGTACAGAAAGTTAATTATCAAACTAACTTTTGGCAGTTTGCGAAATTTCCGGAAACTTTCCCTAACAAATTGCGTAGTCAACAATGTTGATGTAAACAGTTAAAAAGTTTCCAAACTTAGGTAAAGATACGTACTGGAAACTGGAATACGTTCCCACTGCCCCGCAGCAACAACAGAATTGTAATCAAATATTGTATTTTGTATAAGAGACATTGTGAAACATTTCGTTGCAACAAGAAAGGCTTTAATCATGGCAAGAATGATATTGGAACATATGAAGGCGTTTTCGCAGATGAGTTTTTGTTTGATAAACTATTCTTCGCCCGCGTAAATTATGACCTATGTCACCAAAGAATACATGTATATCCTGTAGTCTCCTCATTACATGCGGATTTATGCGAGCGACGACGCTGTAAAACCTCTAAAAAATTGGATATTATAATATTAGTATATTATAGTATGTTATAATATTAGTTGAATTAATTAGAACGTATTGAATAGAACGTATTACCAATATAAACATTTTAGTAGCATAAGAAGCCGGCGAAAAACGGAACACAAATATAAAACATGATGACGAAAAATACAAACCCGGAATTGCGTACGATATACATATTCCACACAGTAATAACAAAATACAACAACGCGAGGGAATCGTACTGTTCCTTTATCGCTATAAAAGCGTACCCTACACAACATAGGTGACGATACAATACCGTATCTACTTGTTTTAATGAGAGATTTTAGAGTGTGTTTACACCGAAAGTCACTAAATTTCCGATCCGAAATGTAACCAAGGAAAAATTTTACGTACTTAGGTTGTTTACTTTTGTTGTTTTTCCCCGGTTTAATATCATTGAGCACCTAAAGTTTTTAG